CCAGCCGTCCTGACGCTGCTGTGTCATGTAAAGAGGTGGTGTGTTGAATGCTTGGAGAGAGTACTTAACCATTTGGCCGCGGACTCTGGCTACACCCATCCCATTGGTAAGTAGTGGAATCTACCACCGGGAACGAGCAAGTCAACGTGCAGAATCGTAACACCCGTCGTGAAAAGCAAGACACACAGACCCTACTTCTTGCAGTATTCAGATGTTTTTTTGGGAGAGACGAGAAGAAAGCGAAAAACTGGGAAGGACTTGTCCCTGCAATGCGTATATCGTCTAAAAGTAAAGACTTACGGGACGGGTTGTTGACAGAAAGCCGATGTGTGCAAGTCACTAGTAAAACGAAAAAGGTCGGAAAGTAAGATGCTGATCGTCCGAACAGATCTTAACAAGTGCATAAACCGGGGCTCAGCGATCGGTTGCCTGCTCATCTAGAACTCCGTACTCACCGACAAATGGTGCGATTCCGCTCCCAACCGAAAACGCCCGCGGACGATATGCGGCGAGAAATTACAAAAACGGTCACTCTTATTCTTGTTCCTACATTGTTTCTGAGGAGAGGGCTTCTCTACGTGCAGGCGAATGTAATGACGGTTCGGACAACCGGGCTATCTTATACCTTTTAAAAAAAACACATCTATAGCTTCGCCTTTATTCATGATCTCGAGAACGTTTTACCCTTCGGCGCTATGATACCTTCGGATTAGGATTACTCCCAACCAAAGTGTGCAACCAGCAAAGCAGAGGTGAAGTCCACTGGACAATGCCATGACTTACATGGGTCGCATGGTAGCTTCAGTGGAAACGGAGGGTTCGAAGACCAGAGCATTTTTGTCCGAATAGGAAGGGGGGTTTGGCAAGGTAGACTGGGATAGCGAAAAAGGGGAAGACGGAAAATGGATAAATAGGGGAAAAAGAGGATTTTTTCAGACATTAAGCAATTGCATTGAAAAATATACTTCACTACCTTGGGGAGTGTGTAAAAAAGTGTGAAATTGTACCAAACAGCTAATTTTAATTCGCTTCGGAAACGCCGTAAAACACGGGTAGAACACGCACCTTGGCAGCACATGTGGTCAATGTTCTTGGCAAACTATATAGTTACTGAATATAATATAGTAGCGTGTATATATTTAAACATGGGCTACGTACGACCTAAACGCGTACTCTCAGCTGACCAGACTTCATTGATGGGAATCAATCAATCGAATCTCACACGAACCCCAGTGTCATTAAGGCCATATTATAGAGGGTCCATAACAGCCTCGTCCTAGGTTTTCAGCAGGATCGTCCTATTCCATCAGCCAGCAACCTTCGCGGACACGAATGGTAGTGCAACGTGATAATCTAAAATCACTGTCGATTGTCTATAATGGCGAAAGCGGCTCCGATCTGAAATGAGCTCACTTGTTATGCATGTCCAAAATGAGATTAGGCGCAGCGTGGTAGCCTCCTTTTAACATGTCCGGCATGCAAGTACACATTCATGCAATGCGACTCAATAAGTGATGCCAGAAGATGCGGAGACAATGCAAGCAAGTTAGGTGGACCGCGCGTGGCACAGTTGATGTGTACATCAGTCGTCTCCATGAACCCGCTGTTCAGGAGCTACCTCATTCGATTAGCCTTTGGTATCCCTAAACGACAGTTTTAGTGAATGTGATTCAGTCGGGTTTTGTTAAATTCCATGCCTCCGCCACTTACAAGATGAATGTCAGGACGTTGAAATTCTTTAGAAACAGCTGTCCAAACTTGACTGATTTGGTCACAATTCCAAAAGACGTAATAACTTCATTGTTTGCCCAGCGTCAAGAGGTTCTTAAAGACCGATTCCCCTAAAACCTTGACTACACCTGAGTTTAAAAAGTGCTTTAAAATGAACACGGGGCAATAGACATTCCAATTGCCTTGCTAACAGAAACAAAATAAGCTTGTTTTGGATTTTTTCGCAATGGCCCTGAGGGGGCACAGTGAGGTGCGTTCCTTCTCACAACCTACTAGTGTGGGCAGAATGTCAGTCTCGAAAGTTTAAGGATTAGGCATATAGAGCAGAAGTAACCTGCATGTCTCACAAAATCACTCATATACCAATGAACAAAGTCAGTTTGAAAAGTTACCAGTATGGTTTGCAATAAATAAAGCTAGGGTAACATCTTTTGGCTCTCCAACGTTCCCGAAGAAGTCAGATGAAATAGCAGCGAGGCATTGAACTTTGAGATGTCCCTAATTTTCCTGTTTGCAAACCAATTTAGTCCGAAAGCAGCAGAAACGCGCGTTATAGAAAATGTAACCCCTAAAACAACGTGTTTGGTAATTGTTAGGCATTCAGGTTCGGTCTCCTATAATATAAACGAGCCGAAAAACTGCGCAATATAAACCAGCTGTGGGTAAGACATGCACTGTATTAGAAAGATAGCACTTCGGGAAAAAATTTTAAAAAGAGCTGTGGGAGAAAACGAATACAGCTAGCGGACAAGATAAAAAGTATAGCTTCCGTACCACAACAGGCAAAGCTGGCCGCGTAATGGTCTCCTCCACGAAATTGTCTTCGGTGTGGGCAGCACTGTCGGGGAATATCCGTTCATGCGGAATGTTCTCCTTGTTGTGCACGGGAATTTCCACCGCACCGACACCGGCTGCACACTTTTCTTCCTCAGTGACAGCTAAAGGAGAAGGCTCAGAGGTTTGAAATTTTCGGAGAAACTACCACTACTACTAAATGAGCTGCAATGCGAAAGCGGGTGAGCAGATGAGCTGCGTTTTCGGCAGAAAGATTAACCTTGCCTATTCCGATCGAAGTCGAATTTACAGCCAGCAACTTCATCCCCGCTATTGCAATTTGGAATAAAGCCGTGTAGAATGTTCAAATACGATTATAGGAGAACGTAAAGCTTGGAAAGTACAAACTGTCTGTTATGGACCTGTGATAGCATCCGATTAGGGGCAAGTTGGCAGGTTAATATGGAAGAGAAAATCCTCGAAAAATACTGATTCATATTGAAGTTGTAGTGTATATGCAGTGGGTCTACTCAGGGCACTACAATCATCGGGTCGGATCCAGATTGTGGATCTACGACTTAAAATTGAATTGGCTTACTTACTTACAACTCATCATCAGATCACTTCCGGCTTGTGAGATACAAAGGTGTTTTTTTTTAATTTGCTACGTGAGAATCTAAAAAACGTCGCATACGTGCCAAGACCACATGTGCCTTTATTATCGAAAGCCACTGTGCAAACGCCCATCTCTAGTCACGTTGACTCGTACGCTTCGCCCACATCGAATACCATTAATTCCAGTAAACGTAATGATTATAACATGTCAAGCAAGCGTTAAATATATATGGTCACTTACCACGCATGTCTAATCGCTCAAGTGAAGGTAACTGGCTGATAACTGTGGGTCGGTAGTAGTTTGCGGGCTCCGTTGAGTTGTCTACATGGTCAATGTCTGTGGAATAAAACTATTAATTGAGGTTACCCGGAGCATAGCAACACGGATTCCCCAACAGAAAAAGCGTGTGCAAATGAGGGAGGGCACGTAAATGTCGAATTTCATCCAAGCTTGCTATATTGTTGTTCCGTAGATATAACTCCCTGAGAGTGGAGCAGTGAGCAAACGCTTCAAGGCTTTCAATTTTATTCGAACTTTAATAAATGAGTTAAAAAAGATATCCAATAATGAGTCACCTTAATGAAATCACCTCCAGCATGGGCATAGAACTAAGAAGCGACACATTTTTAATATTAAGACCCCTAAAATATGTCGAACTAAACTAAATTACCACAAGTTAACTCTCTTTACAGATTCCAGAGTTTGATTTTGGGCCCTCATGAGGATCATTGACTCGGTCAAGGACTGCCCGTCCATGTTTTACGCGTACCACCTAGGATTAAGGGGTGCACGATTTAGTGAACAGTGCACAAAATTAGAAAACCAAATATGAACGAAAGGAGCATACTAGATAGGTCGCTGCGTTAAGGCCTGAAGTTAAAAATAATTTAGCCGACAGAGCTCTGTTAGCAATAGAACGGGATAAAAGTGTGCGGATCCGAATGATGCAAGTCGTCTGTTTTTCTTTTTCAATCCACTACAAGCAATCCTTTTTCTGAATGTCATAAGAAGGCGTAACAACAGGAGACCTCAACTAATCAAATATTTGAAATGTGCAACAACAAAGCGAGGGGACTGTGCTCTAAAGTTAACTGATACAACACATCGATTGCCCGAATGGGCAGATGATGCAAGCACCCACGTCTGTAAATAAATTTTACAGGTGATCTGCGGTGCCAATTGTCGTCAAGACTTAAAGGTAGTGAGCTACTTGAACTTCGACTGTCCATCTTAACACTTATTCTAACCCCAGGTGTCGGGAAAACTCTACAGTCCAGCGGCTATACTGAACCTTAACCCTATATTGCAGCATCTAACCTCGGGTATAGTTTAACCTAGAGTTGCCCCTATACCTGTAGATGGGACCCAGAAGACAAGGCAGACAGCTGTGAAACGGTCCACTCTATAGGTACACACGTCCGGTCCGTGTATGTGTGGG